AAAAAAAAAAAGAAATACCTAAGTAAATAATTGACATCATCATCATAATCATAGTTGTTGTTGATGATTATAAAATTCAATGAAACTTGTATATATATATATATTAATATATATACATGTAAGATGTGTATACAAGTAAACTACAGTTTACTGTACAGAAAATAATGCCTGAACACAGGCAGAGAGCATAGGACAATCTTGTCTATGTTACAGGATATCCAGTATCTGTGTCAGGAGTTATCACTGTACCAGTGTCAGCAAGTATGTATCAAACTATGGTGGCCAATATTCAAAGTGATGGTACTATGCAAGTAGTAACACCGATGGTCCAAGTACCTAAAGTTGAACCTGGAAATGGGGAGACCAGTATTGAAGCAGTTACTATTCAAGGTCATCCAATGACGATGATCAATGCAGCAGGAGAACATCAAGTTCTACAAGTGATATCGTTAAAAGACGCTAATGTTCTTACCAAAGCTATGCAAGCGGAAGTAGTGAAAGACGAGGATAGTCAACAACAACAAACCGTATCTAGTCCGGAATAAAAAAAAACAACATTTGTGTGTATTATAATTAATTAATAAACGACGACGACGACGACTACGACGACTACGACGATGATTGAAGAGTTCTATTAAAAAAAAAAAATCTATTAAGATTTCATCAGCGTGTAATAATAATAATAATATTAATAATAATAATAATAATGAGAAAAGTGAAAGAAAAGCAAAAAACCAAAACAAGAATAAGGACAAGGACAAAACAAAAATAACAAGTGAAAAAATGATCATTGTAAAGGATTTGTATTTGAGATACGTTCGAGATCATCCATTCAGACCTTGTTATAATTTTGTGTCTCTTGAATTTTGGTGTGTTATGATGATGATGATGATGGTGTTGGCAGAAAAATAATTAAACTGCTCTTCCGAATAATGAGAGACATGAGTGTTGTGTATGTTTGATGATAATGATGATGATGATGATGAGAGTGTGTAAATGAAAACTCTACTGAGTGGGGTGCGTTGATCGATGAATTTAAGAGTTTGTATTCAAAATTTATTATAGACCATATACAATATAAATTACCTGTAATTCTATTTCTCAAAATGATGATGATGATGATGATTAGTAGTAATAGTACGAGACATTTTTTTTTTCTTTTTTTTTTTTTTGATTGAAAGTACTACTCTTAATTCAATGAAATAACTTGGATCTTTCAAGGAAATTTTATTCATTGACTCCTTAAGAGAGCGAGAGAGAGAGAGAGAGAGAGAAATCTTTGTTATATGGAAAATGCAATACACATCTTCCAAATAATACAATTAATGATAACAAATATATTTTCATCTAGTCTCTTAGACATGGTTTAATATTTTTTTTTTTTTATTTTTTTTTTTTTTAGGACTTATTGAACTTTTATGGATATTCCAAAGAGTTCGCGCGCGCGCGTCTTTTATGGTTTCATTAATAATTTTATTAAGTAGGACAAATAACAGGCAACTATTTATGAAAAGCACACATAACGTAAACACATTTTTAATATCGAGATTATGTTTTGATATTACAAAATTCATTATAACGATGTTTTCAATCTATTGAAAAAAAAAGAAAAAAAAATGAAAAAAAAAACAGAAAAAAAACCCAAAAAAAAAAAAGACAAAAATGGAGCTTTTAATATATTGATATAAAATAAAATAAAAAAATAAAAAACCATTTTTATTTGTCGGATATATGCAGAGAATTGGACAAAAAAAAAAAAGAAAAAGAAAAAAAGAGAAGAAATGAACAAAATATCTGATTTAGTGTAAAAATGAATGATAATATTCTGGATCAGATTAAAACAAAAAATATTATTTGGCTCTTCTGTAGCCAAAAGAAGACATGTAACATATTTTTATGACAAAAGAAAGAAAGAAAGAAAGAATGAACCAAATTTGTGCTTGGTTGTGTAGAGATATATATGTATAGATATACACACATATATACATAAACAGGACACAGGATCACATTATAGCAGTAAAAAAAAAAGAATTAAGCATTTCTGACGGGTACAAATAGGATAAGATAACATTTTTCTTTGTTTATCTCTCAACAAGTTGAAATATATATATATATATATATATATATAAATATGGATTTGACATTCGATTGATACAATAACATAATAATTCAGGTGTGATTATTGTAATATTTGAATATTTCATATTTTATATTTTATATTTTATATATTTTACATTTATGTTATTTTCATTTTTTTTTTGTTTTCTTAAAGTTTTATTTTTACACGTGATAAAACAAAAACAAAAAACAAAAATGAAAATGAAACATAATTACGTAAATCTAATGTGTTATTATATTTATGTTATATATTTAAATTAAGAATATTGATATATACAGTGCATATACTTTTAAATTTGCCGACTGTGCTAATATTTTATTTATTTATATATTTAGAAAATCCAATACTAAGATACACGACGACTTTAAACAGAAAGAGAGAGAGTGAGAGTACCTTACATAAAAATTAGAAAAAAAAACTACTACATCGCTCTCATTAAACTGTATTTTAAAGTTCAAATCAAAACGCGTCACTTCTTATTTTATATTACAGACAAAATCATTCTCTACGATGATAACAGTCGAGAGCTAAGATTCCATTTGTTTTTTGTTTTTTTTTATATTACATCTGACGTGTTAGAAAAAAAAATAGAAAAGTATTTTTAATTTTTGTGCAATCTTGTTTCAATGTTGCGGTCAAAAATGAGTCAAATATAAAAAAAAAAAAAATCCTGGTATTTAATAAAAAATAATAATAATAATCATTTCATTTGTGTGCAATCAATCACTCTCTAAACGAATAATATAAACATAGTTTATATACATATATATATATATATATGTAATATAATTTATTTATATATATTTATTAAATACTTTAGTCATATCGATGAATACAAAAATGCCAATGATTTTTTTTTCATCTCTCATAAATAATATATATATATATATATATATATATAGTTGAAAAGTTAAGTTAAGAAGACATTGTCGTCGTTACAATTATAATCAGTAATTAATTATTATTATTATATACAATTTTTTACCACCATACACAAAGTTCCTGTAGATCCATAGAAATTTTTGTCATCCTTGTAACATACTCACATACACATACACACACACACGTTGGAAAAATAATAGAATCGTAACATTGAAACAAACAAAGCTGCCTTTGGGGGTAACTAGGTAACATATGAAAACGATACCAACAAATTTTTTATAATATCATAGACGACAAAAACAAAAACAACAACAACAACAAAAAAGTATTTAAATTTAATAACAAAACTATTTAAACTAGTACAGATTATTATTATTATTATTATAATTATATTATTGATTAGATATTAATTGTTGCATTGTTTTGTAAAATCATGGCCATTGAAAACGTGATGTAATATATATATATATATATATATATATATAGGTAAGATCATGTTGTGTATTTTACATTTTCGTTTAACGAAAGTAACATACCCAACATAAATTAAGTTCTATATCATCTAAAAAAGGAAACAACGTATATTATATCACATTAAATGATTCTAGACATACACATATATATATATATATAAATATATATATATATATGTGTATATGATGACTTTACTGCTGTGTATCCTATAATGTAATTTGTAAATATGTCGTGATTGTGTCATTTTTTTTTTCCTTTGATTAAGTTCAGTGTAAAAGAAGAGAGAGAGAAAAAAAGCAAAAGTAAATTGAGTCCATCGCCATTTAACAAAACATGAATGACATAAAGAACCAATGGAAAAAAAAAAAAAAAAACAGTTCAAATATAGCACACATATCATTTCTTCATTATGTTTCCCACGTTAATTAAAATTGCACTGACCCTCGTCGTACATGTCACAATTCTAACCTAGATTTTATCAATAGAGATTATACGATCGATCAATCAATCAATCAATAATTAGCAACAACTGTATGCCAATTATAATTTGTTTATTAGATTAAGAAACATTTTTTTTTATAAATAGATTTATTGAAAGTACATTATTTCATTTAATAATGATTCAATTTAATCATTCATAAATGATATGAATAAATTTGCACTAAGATGCACTTTCATTTATTTAATATAAATACTATACGTCAAATGAATATATTTTCAAATTACATGTTGTTCGGATTTTCTAAGGCTAATTCTGGTTTATCATATCCTAATTCTTCTAAAGTATTAATACCCAATTCATCCATGGTAGGTTTAATCTCTTGAAGAATATATGGATAAATAGTATCGACATATGGACCACATTTGTCTTTAACGGATTCCAAAAATCTAATAGCCAAGGCAAAATCATTTAACCTTCTACATGCTCTCAACGCTGCACAGATTATTTTGGGCTCGGGTACCATGTCCATACCTAAAGTTAAAGTAAATATAACAGAATAAATTTCAATAGTTAGCAGTAAATAATCATTATTAGAGATAACATAGTTCAATTTAAATTAATTACAAATCATTTCAATTAGATTTATGATAGAAGAATTGTAAATACAACATCATATGCTTGTCCGTGTTAACAAGTACCAATGTTATATCACAAATATAACCTCATAATTAATACGTTATTTTATAAATAAGAATCTATTCGTAAATGTATAACATTATTAAAAGAAAAATTTAATTGAGCTTTACTACAATAACAAAAATTGTATAATTGTACAAGTATTGATGACAGAACTGTTTTAGATTTAATGACAAAATTCGAACAATTCAAATATTTGTAATATAATGTAACAAAATAAGAGAGATAAAAAAGATTAAATTGTTAATGTGAAATCTTTTACCAGCCAAATCGTTCATAGCTTTACGAGCTTCCCAGCCATCGATATCAGGACGATTGAAATATTTTTCATATCGTGCATCGAATTCTTCGTCGGTTTCGGTAGTATGAGAATTTCTCAAGGATTGTGTACCAATAATCGTTGCACGAGGTATCGTTGCATTTCTTATGGAAGATCCAACGCGTCCTGCCACGATACGTAACATTTTTTCTAACAAAATTATATCAAATTTTTACACAAGAGCTTACGACGAAACAACTATGCACCCTTAAACAGAATCGTCTATTACATAAACCTAAAAGATGTCAGTCACACCTTTAACTGTTTGACGCTTGCGTACCAATGACGTAACTTTCAACACACCTGAATTCTTCAATATTTTCTATAACAATTTAATTTTTGTCATTTGGTTTTATAAACTTTATAAATATAACATTTATATTGATTTACGTATTGCAATATTCATTAATTTCATTCAGAAAATATTTA